TGAGGCTATCTTGATAATTTAATATTCAAAAGAAAGCTTAGTTCGTAAGCTTTCTTTTGACTATTAAATCATTAAGACAACCTCAAAATTCATCGAGATATGAGCTGTGAAAGTTAAGGTATTCATTTTTTTTAAAAATGTCAATGCCTTATTTCTTTTGATGGCAGCCCATGTGATTTTGGTACCATTCGATTCGTCTCGATGAGACGAATCGAATGGTACCAAAATCATGTTATTTTTGATTGGATGATTCGGTTAATCCGTTTGGATATCTGAATTAAAAAAACGGATATCCGGATAAAATTTATCGGATAAACGGATGACGGATTGATCCGGATTGGAACTCTAGTTCTTTAAATATTGTAATTAAATTATTTGACGACATAAAAACAACTAAAATAAATAAATATATATATTGTAACCAATATCGTTTTGAGAACCACAATTCATATAAAGTATACAATCATTTTAAAAATTTTGCTATATAAAGATAAATAAGTTTTCAGACTATAGTCAACTTAGTGAAGATTTATTTAATCTCTGTTTAGTATTAAACGTAAATATTGTATTATACTGTATATCACTAATAAATATAAATTCAAAACTTAAAAAGTTTGATGAGACTTATATAACAAGCAGATTAAATTTAATTTTATTTTAAACTTGATTTTTGAATAGAAAAAAAATATATCAAATCTGATTTTATATTTTATAATAATTTTATTAAGTTATGCGGATTCACCCGTTTCATCAACAGTTATTTATCCTAATTATGAATTAAGCCAACTTTAATTATCGGCAAAATGGGACTATTAGTCTGGAAGAATATTCGTCATTGAATGTCGCAACGTAAGGGAAAATTCTAAAAATAGATTTATTATGAATTTTATAATAAATCTATTTTAGCGTTAGTTACACTCATTTAAAAATTCTAGAAACTTTGATCAGCCAACCTGACTGGTATGCAAAACATGTACGAAAATGTTGTTGGATTACACCATGTTTAGCGTTAAATGCCGAAACTTAAATTTTGAGTTAAAGAAATCCAATATCGACTTATCCTTGACGAAAGTTTAGCAATTGGAACGTTGGGTAAACGCAAATGTAGTGCTGGATTAATAGATTACACCGCGACTCCCGATATATGATATAACGGAGGCCATGGTTCCAGTCCTTTATACGTATCAAAAGCTCCATAATATCAAAGTCTCATGATATATCGGATATTATAGTAAATCATAATTTGGTTGCATTATAATTCTCTGTATTAAGTTATATCGATGACCCGTTATATCGAGAACTATCTTTTTTATATTTAAATTATGATACATAAAATCGCATTACTACTCGCGTTGACATACCGTATATTCCCGAAAATAAGTTACCATTGTTGGTAGAAAAATTACACAAAGATTTTAAAATATTAGATTTTTAGAAAAATTAAAATATCTCTATGATTACTTGTCCAAATTAAATGAAGCTTTTGAAATATATGTATTTTGATGTTCTGAACAACTCTACTTAAGAATCCAAAAACACAGTTTACTTTGTAAAATTTTGACTTTTATATATATAAACGATTTGCAATTTCTCTAATTTTTTCAAAAAACGGAGATAGCTTATTTTCGGTTCCATATGCATTACATGATATCCCGGTTCATTTGAGATCACTGATTATCAAGTTTATATAAGTATGTACGTACAAACATGATTATTGTTAAAATATTTAAGGGAAATTCCGTTTTCACCCGGGTTAAAGTCACCCGAAATATTACTAAACTAATAATTTTATTATAGTTTATCAGGTGACTTTAACCCAAGTGAAAAACTTTATCTTATTTTTATTATGTCATTGTAGCGAATTCCTGATCCAGAATATTATTTCGCTGTTTTACAGAATCTATCATCTTCCCGTAGAACATTTATCACTTAAGATTGAACGAAATGTAAAAGCTGTTAGTATGGGAAAAAAGGAATATTTTTTTCAAGAAATTGTTGATGAGGTATGTTTTAAATCTATTTGTCTTTAAAATAAGCAGATTTAGTAATAGTCAAATCGCAAATTCTTTTGTGTGCATGCGCAAGAAATGTTAGTATAGAACTTGGGCCTCTATCATTTTCCTGACAACCACCTTCCCGACAAACAAAATCCTACAAAAATTAACCGGAACTAACACTAACCCTAACCTATATATATATATATATACTTACTAATAACATGCTAAATTGTCACATATTTATTTCTACAAATACAGGCTAAGTTGCCGGGATTTTAACATTGTTGGGAAAGTGGTTGTCGGGAAAATGGTAGGATCCGATAGAACTCAACATTCAGATCTGCATTTCTGCAAGCCTTAGCAAAAAGGATACGGCAATTACTAGAAGCCTAATTAATAAAGGTTAAGAAATAAAATTCGATAACGAATATAAGTTGTATTTATTTATTTAAATTATTAATTGTTCAATGATAAACTTATATATCAATATGCTTATTATAGTAATAAAATGGTCATATAATTAAATTTTGTAATTTTAACTTGAAGCAACTTTATTTTTATTTTATTTTTTTGTTCAACACTTAAAAAAACATTGTAACTAAATATGAATTTTTGAATTGACACGCACGCGTTCATTGTTTTTAATCTCTTTTCGTTTTAGTTGGATCAACGATCTTTGTAATTGTAGTCATATATTTTGCGGATTCATTTTAATTATTCCCTTTACTAATGTATAAGTTTCACAAAATACGACGAACATAAAGTGGCTATGTTGTATTCACGGAACTAAATCGAAAAGTGCATTTTATTCATTTGAATCAGAAATTGCATCTAGTACGAATTTTTTAATAATGACATAACAGTTAAGGATACTTAGTTTCAGCCATAAAGAAATTGCTTAGCTTACTTATTCTATAAAGGTGTATCCTACGAACAACCCAAAGTTGTATCCAATAAGGATATAAATAATATAAAAAATTGATTTTTCGAGGAACTTTTTTTTTTTGCAGCACTCAGCCCATATGTTCTCCTTTCTAGGTAAGAAGAACGACTACATAACCAAATAGATAAAAATAGATTAATAGAACCCGACAGAAACCAGGATAGTTCGGTCTCTTCACAGGATCAAACAACGTCCACCGATCGTGCTTCGTATCCAAGCCAATAAATTAACTGACGTCTAAACGACATTGGATATATGTACTATATCCGAAGAAATAGAAACCACGACAGAAAGACATTTCAAATGACGATGATAAATTATCATTAAATAAAATAAAAAAAATATATACCAAAAGGTCTTCAAGGAAGAAATAAGCTTATACACGTATAATTTCAAAAAAAAAAAAAAAACGGTTATTCATTAGAAAAGGCGTCAAAATAGAACTACAGTAACAAAGTCAGTATTCAAAAAAATCATTGTTCTTACTAGTGACTACTGTACAAACATGGATGTTTTCGTTGCACCAAAGTACAAATTTAGACACGCGTTTTTTTTTCAGTATTATCACCAAAAGAGTTTGTATAGTATCTAAAATAGCGCTATTTCTAGCAAATTGATAGAAATAGCTAGCTATATTGTTTTTGTGCTAAGATGCGAATTTTGCTATTTCCTTTTGTCGGTGAACAATTAGAAACTTTTGAATCTATAGATATATCAGCCGGATTCAAAGCAGGGCTAAAACAAGATATATTAAATGCATCATATTAAAATTTCATCAATTGTTGAGACAATTAAATACTTATATATATCAAGAAAGATACTTTAAACAAAAAAGGCAGTGGCACTATATTCTCGTGATTGCTAATTTGCTATTTTTGCTATTTTGCTAGCTATTTTTACTAGCTATTTCGACTATTACTAACTGGATACTCTGATTCAAATAACTTCAAACTATATAAATATATCATATGTTAAATATAAATAGTTTCTACTTTGTCATGGGTGAGAGTCGAATTTAGTATTTGCAGTTCGAAACTTTATTAAATTTTTAAGCATCAAGTTACATAAAAAGTGGGTGCGCGTTATTTCGAGACGCGCATGGTCGGCCAAATAGCTAAATTTTTTATAAAGTCAAAATTCGAATTAACGCCCCGGTATACAATTTTGATGATTGAATCGGTTTACAATTTTGCAAATTTTATTAACATTATTCTATCGTAAAAACTAGTAAACTATAGTTCAATAATCTAGTCATATTTAATCTGTACAAATAATGTATTTGCCAATAGCAGGTTACATTTCTAATTACAATATAAGTTTTAAATGATAATTTTAAGTTAATAATTTCAACACATTCAAATCAATGTCAGCTTATTTTAACCCGAGTCAAAAAAAAAAAAAAAAAATAGTGATATATAGTGATATATATATTTACATTATATATTTACATTAAGTGCTGTGTATTAATTAATTATGCCCAAGAAAGCGTAAAGTTGAATTCAATAAACTAAATTCTAGTCGAAGAGAATCAGGGATATCAGCTGGATTGTCATCAGCTTTCCATTGCACAATAGGTTGTGGGTGAACACTATATGAAGAGATGCTTCCTTCACTAATTACTACCGCAAGAGAATAATCAACCGTTCCACGTGGAGTCATAGGATCAAGTAGTCCTACTAGCTTGCGAGCGCCAGAATACGAAACAGCATAAGCATGCGTGCACATTGGAAACACAGACTTATATAATCTATGGACAGAAGAATTTTTTCCGACTTGTTCACCGATATATTCATAGCAATGGCCTAAGTATAACGTTTCCCAAGAATCGGGTAAGTCATGATGAATATCAGTCATAATAGCAGTAATGTTAAGTTCAAAATCAGCATCATCTTCTAAAATTAAGACGCTATTATATCCCTTATCAACAATCAGTTTATAGACAGAATAATGACTTAGATAACAAGCCTTTTGAGGAGGGCTCATATCTGCGGAACCATACTTGTGGAGAATATGTTCATCGTGTTTAGAAAAGGCAGAAAAATAATCGAAATCTAATCCAAGATATGAAGCTATTTCATCTAATCTTTCACGTCTATCCGCTCGATAGTCAAGATGGACAACATAAATATGGTCAAAGCCAAGTGTGCAATTAGAGGAACAAAATTTTTTTTGTAAATTTAAATCTTCGGAATAATTAAACAATGGTCGGAGCCAGAAACTTAAATAGAAGAATATGATGATTAAGAAACTGGTATATATTTTTATCATACACCGACTATTACTGAACCGTGCTGCTGCCATAGTCATTAACGAAGAGTTATTGTTTTTTTATTGAGAATTTAAATAAGCTTTTTAATATTTTATATATTTTTTTTAAACAAGATACAAAATTCATTTAGATCACCAAAACTGGCTTTAAACTAGTTAAGTCAATAAGTCCTATATAAAAAATCGGTTAGTAAAATAAAATGCAATTGAGCCGCCGTAACTACGTATTATCTATACTATTAATTACGTGTCATATGAAGGTGGTAAACAATAAATAATTAAGTTAAAACTCGAAGTCTTGTTTTCAAACCTGAACTGATCATAATGATTTACTAATCAAAAGAGGCTAACATCCTCCCTGTGCCTCAAATACTGTTCAGAACAAGTTGAAACGGTGCAGTAACAAGATCGAAAGCATATGCAGCACTGGGGTGTTCAGTCAATCAAAACTATTAAAATTTTAAGGCTTTTTTGTTTTTGAATCAGGATAGTGATCAGATTATTTATCATATACAAGTCACTCTCGTTATAGTGAACTCTCGATATAGTGAAGACTAATTAAAATCGTGATATAGTGAAGTTAAG